TAGCATAGGCCTTTCCCTGTATTTAAAATTATACCTCAATTTTTAAAAAAAGTAATGGAATCATGTATACAGAAAAGATTATTTGGTGAGAGACTAGACATGGTTTCTATTTTTAATTCTCCTAAATTTATGTATGCCTTGGGCAAGTTCATTCATAATATATTCAACAAAGTTTTGAGTGTCTAATCAGAAACAAGTGTGCTATGCTAGATCCTCAGTAAATAAGAGAGACAAATTCTGGTGGAGAATAGAAAAGTAAACAGAATGTGCTGTGGTAAGTGCTCTCTGGGGTACGAATATAAAAGGGAGTAGGTAATTCCAGGGCTGAGGAAGGCTTCACAGAGGAGGTGATACTGAACTGGGTTTTTAATGTTTTAGGAGTTTGTAATACACAGAAAGGTAGTCTTTTTACTAGTGCTGGTATTTAAGCTTCAAGACATTTCCTGTGGTCATATTATGTAATGATTTGACAAACTAGACTTTGTTGACCATATCTGTGTCTTTACTGACTGTTAGAATCTTTGATCATTTTCTCCTCACCTTTTAATTTTGTTTGGGAGAAGGATACAGTGGATATTTATGGGACATATTATTTAAGAAATCTGTTTTATATGCATAGAAAAAAGACTGGATGTAAACTGTTTAAAGAAAAATAAAAATACAGGTCATCATTAGATATACCCCAAGGCCAACCACCCTTAGCTATTTGGCCAAAACTTGTTACCCTGATTTCCTTGAAACACTAGTTTTAATCATAAATGGAACACAGGACATACGCTTTACATCCTTGTCAGCATGATTCAATGAAATTAAACCAATCAGCAATAGGCAAATCAGCTTAAATATCTCTGCTTGCCTTAAAAACAGTGTTAATGTATAACAACCAATCACTAAAAAGGTCAAAATACTTCGTCCTTTAGGCTTTATAAACTGTGCTGGAGCTGCTATAAAGCAGTCTTACTGCTTTTGGTTCAAACTCTCCCGGTTTATAAACTGTTCGTCTGTATACACAATTAACTATAGTTTTTAAATTTGATCTGATTTTTTTTTTGCAGCTGGCCTCTATGGAGAACCAAACCCTTGGCCTTGGTGTTACAAGACTGTGCTCTAACTGAGCTAATTGGCCAACCCCCTAATTTTATTTTTGACAATGTTGAATTTGTTACCAGTGATGATCTCCAGTGATAGGCTTACAAGATTATTTGGGTTTTCTTCTTTGTGCTCTTTTGCAGTTACTTTTTATTTTTAAATTTTGCATTAATATTTTCTACATATATTTTTATTATGTATTTAAAAAATTTTATTAAAAAATATGCTTCATGAGCACATTGTGGTGGCAATTGACTCATCAGCTGAGGACCTGTTGATTCTCAGTTAAGAAAGCCTCCATCTGATGCATGATGCTGCTTCTCTTACTAAAAAACTAAAGCAAGCGAACTATATGATTTTAGCCCTAGAGAAAATTTGAAACAAATTTGGTTTCTTTTTGCCTTTTAATATCTGCTTTATATATGCCTCAAAAGTTAACTTTTTCAGCTATAAGTAAGCTTTCTCATTCAGCTTTCTTTGACATAAATAGGTTTTACAGAAAGCAACACATGCTGCTGAGAGTGAAGTGGACAAATGCGTAGAAGATATAATGAAGGAAAAGAATATTAACCCCGAGAAGGATACAAGGTATGCTGTTTTTACATTTTTTTATTATGCATTTATAGCCTGTGAGATATAGAGATCATACATAGTTGTAAAGCTTTAGAGCTGAAGGGCTTGTGGAAATCATCTAATTCAACTCTTAATTCACTAGATGAGCAATCGAGGTTTAGAGAGGTGAGTGTTAGAAGCAGGACTAAAATCTGTATCTCTTGGTTCCCAATCCAGTACTATTGCCAGTATACCATCCGCCTTCTTCAAGGTAACTAACTTACCGTTACTTTCCCAAGGTTAAGTAACTTTGGCTACTGCGTCTTTCCTGTCCTTCAAAATTCAGTTCCTATATCCTCCTCCAGGAAGGTCCTCTTTGGCATGTTTCTTCAAGGAAGATAAGTTATTGTATTTAGGAAAACTGAGATGATCTGTTATGGAGCTATTTGTTACATGTGTATATTTGGAAAATTAAGTCTGTTGGTAATCTCTATCAGTAAAGATTTAGAAATGTATGAGATTGCCCAGAGAAAACATGAAAAGAAGAGGACAAATCCTTGCAATTGTGAAGTTGGCTGTTCTACCATGTCTTGCCCTCTTTCTAGGTCCTGTTTTATCATATCCTTCATAATATTTTGTTTAATATTTTGTGTGTAAGGAGGCTCTTGGTGCTTATTATATTAAGCTGAAAGCCAGGAAGTGCTTTTAAATAGGCA